GCGGAGTACATGGCAGCCTCGGAGGCAGCGCATGAAGCAATTTGGGTGAAGGAGTTCATCACTGACCTAGGAGTCATACCCAATGCGTCGGGGCCGATCAAACTCTTCTGTGACAACACTGGAGCTATTGCCCTTGCCAAGGAGCCCAGGTTTCACAAGAAGACCAGGCACATCAAGCGTCGTTTCAACTCCATCCGTGAAAATGTTCAAGATGGAGATATAGATATTTGCAAAGTACATACGGATCTGAATGTCGCAGATCCGTTGACTAAACCTCTCTCGCGAGCAAAACATGATCAACACCAGAACTCTATGGGTGTTCGATTCATCACAATGTAACTAGATTATTGACTCTAGTGCAAGTGGGAGACTGTTGGAAATATGCCCTAGAGGCAATAATAAAAGCATTATTGTTATATTTCCTTGTTCATGATAATTGTCTTTTATTCATGCTATAATTGTATTATCCGGAAATCGTAATACACGTGTGAATACATAGACCATAACATGTCCCTAGTGAGCCTCTAGTTGACTAGCTCGTTGGTCAACAGATAGTCATGGTTTCCTGACTATGGACATTAGATGTCATTGACAACGGGATCACATCATTAGGAGAATGATGTGATGGACAAGACCCAATCTTAAGCATAGCACAAGATCGTGTAGTTCGTTTTGCTAGAGCTTTTTCAATGTCAAGTGTCTCTTCCTTAGACCATGAGATCGTGTAACTCCCGGATACCGTAAGAGTGCTTTGGGTGTACCAAACGTCACAACGTAACTGGGTGACTATAAAGGTGCACTACAGGTATCTCTGAAAGTGTCTGTTGGGTTGACACGGATCGAGACTGGGATTTGTCACTCCGTATGACGGAGAGGTATCTCTGGGCCCACTCGGTAATGCATCATCACAATGAGCTCAAAGTGACCAAGTGTTTGGTCACGGGATCATGCATTACGGTACGAGTAAAGTGACTTGCCGGTAACAAGACAGAACGAGGTATTGGGATACCGACGATCGAGTCTTGGGCATGTAACGTACCGATTGACAAAGGGAATTGTATACGGGGTTTGATCGAATCTCGACATCGTGGTTCATCCGATGACATCATCGAGGAGCATGTGGGAGCCAACATGGGTATCCAGATCCCGCTGTTGGTTATTGCCCGAGAGCCGTCTCGGTCATGTCTACGTGTCTCCCGAACCCGTAGGGTCTACACACTTAAGGTTCGGTGACGCTAGGGTTGTATGAATATGAGTATGCAGTATACCGAATGTTGTTCGGAGTCCCGGATGAGATCCCGGACGTCACGAGGAGTTCCGGAATGGTCCGGAGGTAAAGATTTATATATAGGAAGTCTTATTTTGGTCGCCGAAAAAGTTTCGCACTTTATCAGTATTGTACCGGGAGTGCCGAAAGGGGTCCGGGGGTCCACCGGGGGGGTCCACCTGCCCCTGGGGGCCACATGGGCTATAGGGGGCGCGCCTTGGCCTATATGGGCCAAGGGCACCAGCCCCAAGAGGCCCATGCGCCAAGGAGACTTGGAGAAGGGAGAGTCCAAAGAGGGGAAGGCACCTCCGAGGTGCCTTGGGGAGGATGGACTCCTCCCCCCCTCTTGGCCGCACCCCTTCCTTGGAGGAAGGGGCAAGGCTGCGCCCTCCCCCCCTCTCATGCGCCTATATAAAGGGAGGGGAGGGAGGGGTGGCCGCACCCATAAGCCTGGCGCCTCCCTCCTCCCTGCAACACCTCCTCCTCCTCCCGTAGTTGCTTAGCGAAGCCCTGCCGGAGTTCTGCTGCATCCACCACCACGCCGTCGTGCTGCTGGATCTTCATCAACCTCTCCTCCCCCCTTGCTGGATCAAGAAGGAGGACACGTCATCCGCTCCGTACGTGTGTTCAACGCGGAGGTGTTGTCCGTTCGGCACTAGGTCATCGGTGATCTGAATCACGGCGAGTACGACTCCATCAACCCCGTTCCATAAACGCTTCCGCACGCGATCTACAAGTGGTATGTAGATGCAATCACTCTCCCATGACTCGTTGCTAGACAAACTCATAGATGGATCTTGGTGAAACCGTAGGTAAAAATTTTAATTTTCTGCAACGTTCTCCATCACTATGGTGCTAATCGGTCAACAAAAATTTCTCCAAGTAAGGCCAACAAAAAAGTGTGGCGTGTTAAGTCACCTAATGCGGAAATTGCAGAATGTGACAAGCAAAAGGAGATCGAAAAGCTGGTTGTTGGTAATCTGGCTACTTCTAATGGTGATATTGTTATTGTTCAGCAGGATTCGATGGTTAATGATCATGAGGCGAGCACAAGCAAGACCAAACCAAGGGATCCCAAATATAATCAACCTAAGTGGTGTCCTCCCGGTTTAACTAAGACCTTGAAAAGGAGATTACAATGCATGAGGAACCACGAGAAGGCAGAGCATAACGAGGAGAGGCAAAGGGACGAATTTTTCAGTAAAATTCGGCCCATGGCACTCACAAAACAAGTGTGGAGGCCTAAACAAAAACAAAACACAAATTCTTCTACATTAGCTGCAGCAATACCTTCACCACCGAAAGAGGATGATGCGACCACTATTACATCGTCGACACCACCTGAAACACCCCCTTCAATTGAGGAAACTTTAAGCCCAATATACACATTGGGAGATGAAGATGAGATGGTGGATTATGAATCTACGCCGGTTCAGGAAGGTATGGATATTAATATGGTATATTACTTACCTGCCGAGTTTCATGCTACACGTGAAGAAGGGGAGGTAGCCAAGCTGGATTTTGGTCCTAAGAATGCTATCTTCGAGAAGCCAAGAGAACCAGTGAAACACTTGAAGCCATTATACCTCAAAGGTCATATTAACGGATCGCCGGTTGCTAGGATGCTCGTTGATGGTGGTGCTGTGGTAAATCTTATGCCCTACTCGGTCTTCAAAAAGTTGGGGTTAGATGATGATGCGTTGATGAAGATCAATATGGTACTTAGTGGATTCGAGGGTAAGGAGAAGACAGAGGCCAAAGGTGTGATATGCATGGAACTCACCGTGGGAAGCAAAACTTTGGCCACCACATTCTTCATCGCCGAGGTGCAAGGTAACTATAATGTTATATTAGGTCGCGATTGGGTTCATGCTAACCAATGTGTGCCATCTACCATGCATCAATTTTTAATACAATGGATCGATGATGAGGTAGAAATCATTCACGCGGATAATTCGGCTTGTGTTGCTTTGGCCGATGCATTGGTGGATTGGAATCATCCCGATGTAACTTGCTTAACAGGGCGTGGCCTCTCGGAGTTTGATTTCCTTAGTGCTACAAGGAACGGGTTCATTCCCATCTCTTTAAAGCCGATTGGTGGTAATTGGTTACAAGGTATGATGTGAACAAGAAGTTAAAATCAATGGCCGATATATAACTATCGCCCTTAGCATAAACATGGCCGATACATAATTATCGTCCTGAGAAAAATAAATGGCCGATGGAGTGTTGACATCGTCCTTAGAACAAATACATTGCAAATTAATTTTCGGCACGCAAGTTTTGCCGAAAAACAGGGGGGCATGTGTTGACACCAGATTTTGGCATGGTCAAAAACATAATTGAGAAGGCCTCAAATGGAGAAGTGCTCAAAATGATAAAGTTCCGTATCGTCAAAAGGAGGAACTTTGATATTTGGGCCGTAGCCATCCGATCTCATCTTTAAGGCCGAAGTTGTGTTTTAAGTATTCAGATTTTGTATTCAGAATACTATTCGGCTGATTACGCCCCCAAGATGGCATCATATGAGAAAAGTTCCTACATGGATTGTCTTCGTCTCGTCGAGGCGATCGATTTTGATATAAGAAACGTCTAAATCAGAATTCGTATGCAAAAGTTAGAGCCGAAAATGCGTAGCTGCATCAGGATGGCCAGACACTCCGGAAATGATCATCCGGTTTTTGGATTTCTACGAGGACGGCCGGACACTCCGGGGTTGTTTGTCCGGGTTTTGGATTTTTCTGCCGCAGACTTCGGAAAACAGCCTAAAACCCCCTCAAGATGGCCTCTGATCAAAAAACGTTCAACATGAAAGTTGTTCGTCTAGTCGAAGCGGTCAAGATTACTTTTGGGCTCGTTTCCATCCGAGTTTGTTTACCACCACAAAAAAGACCCGCAAAGTACAGCCAGTTTAAACCGATCAGTTTTGAAAAGTTCGAATAAAACCAGTCCGAATTTGACTAGGGTTTTGAACGTGAATTGATGCAATTTTCTTATAAGAAAAGCCTAGATGAATCCTTTTCTTGTACGGAAAGTCCAGCCGCCTCTTATTTATGTTTGGGGTGACGGCCGATTGAACAACACACAATCGCAAAACCCATCTACTTTTTACCCTACTTTTACATCTCTCCCTTGTTCTTTCTCTCTCGTTCTTCGTTCGTTTTAAAGGGCAGCGATCCTCGAGGCTCTAGGGGCGGGCGAACCGACCTAGGGCAGCCCATAGCCGCCGCGCGTCCAGACGGGGTCCCTCCCGGGCGCGTGGGGTTTCGGGTGCTCAAAAGCGCCCGCCGGATTGCTTGCGTACCGCGCTTTCGGACGGGTCTCCTTCGACGTGAGCCGCGGTGCATCACCCTCGGCGTCGGAGGTACACGGTGACGTATTCGTGTGCGAACACGCCCCCGCCGCCCTGTCCCGCGTCCTCGAGGCGCATCCGGGGCCCTTCCGCTGCGTCCACCTCGCCACCAGCTGCACGGAGGAGTCCCGCCACCTGCTCGCGCCCTGGCTCCAGCTCCTCGCCGCCAAGGCCGTGCAGGAGCTCGTCCTCGTCAACAGCCGGCGCCCGCTGGACGTCGTCCTCCCCGCCACGTTCCTGCGCACGGCCACCCTCACCCGCCTCCACCTCTGCTTCTGGAGGTTCCCCAGCACGGCCGGCCTCCCGCCGGGCGTCTCTTTCCCCAACCTCCGTGAGCTCGGGCTCTACAGCGTCGTCGTGGAGAGCCGGGATCTGGACTTCATGCTCGACAGGAGCCCGGTGCTAGAGACGCTCTGCCTCGAAGGGAACCTGTTCACGCTCCGGCTGCGCCTTGTCAGCCAAAGCCTCCGGTGCGTGCCCATCATCGGGTCCTTCTTGGAGGAGATCTTCGTGGTGAACGCCCCGCTCCTTGAGCGCCTCATCAATTTGGAAGGTTTGACCCCTGAGGCCGGCTGCACCAAGGTCAAGATTGGCCATGCCCCCAAGCTGCAATTGTTGGCATACCTGCAGTTGGACACGCGGAATCACGTCCTGGAGGTCGGCAACACAATCATCAAGGTGCCTCGTCTGATATTTCCATTTGTTCGGAGACTGTAAACTCTCCATTTGTGGGGTTTTCCTCTCTTAATAATTTGGTTGCAATGTGAATTGCATTTGCAGGCTGGTACAAGGGTGAGCCCAAGAACCATGGTGACAAGTGTGACAGTCCTGGCTTTGGAGGTGCGTTTCGGAGTGCGCAATGATGCCAAGATGATTCCCAGTGTCCTCGGATGCTTTCCTAATGTCGAGACGCTGTACATCAAGGTGAGGCCCTCTTTCAGCTTTCGTGTGCATCTGCCCATTATCATCCCGTACTGTATTGCTAATTTCTATCAATATAGCTGATGAAGAACTTCATGTGCATTTAACTGATGTGATTTTTTTCAGTCTGGACAGCCTGATCAATCCACTGGCAAGCTCAACCAAAAGTTCTGGCACGACTCTGGTGCCATAGAATGCATCCGTTCGCGCATCAAGCGGCTGATTTTCCATGATTTCCAAGGGGGTCGAAGTGAGCTCGCCTTCCTCAAATACTTCGTCGAGAGTGCGTTGATGCTCAAGCAGGTGGTGATCCTGTTGTCCGCTGGCTCCACTTTGGCGGCGGAGGAGGTGCATTCCAAAATGGCGAATGTGAAACGGGCAGGTGAAATCTCCTTAATGCTGGTCACTGGCTATTCTGATCTTGAAGGACGTTACAAGAGAGGGTCTGAATTTTCTCTTGGCGAGCTTTTTTCCCTTATGAAATTTCCTTGGGCAAAGTAATGAAGCCGCAACAGGTGCGTGCGACGCAAATTGCCTTGGAAGTTATCTATGTCCTGTTCCTGTGGTCTGTGCATGCAAGACACCGTTGAGGTTTGTTTTCAGTGTTTGGATATCCGCCCTGTCGACTCTTGTTTCATGATTAGCTATGTGTCCAAGTTAGTATACTACTTACAGTAGTACAGTACTGAAGTATTGATCTTCGGTTGGCAGTCACGGACCTCTGTACCCTGTGTTTCATGTTTGCCTTGGTCTGATGACATGACAGTGGTGTTACATTGCAGCGTTTTTTGCTTAGCATATGAGGCTTGATGCAGGCTAATTTTCCTATGCATTAACATGGAAATAAAGTTCCTTCCCAGCTGGTTGCCAATTGTGCTGTGGTTGTGTGCTTACTCCTCCTTTCGGCATCTCCTTCTAAAACAGTTCCCATCTTTTAGATTCTAGCACCTCCAAGTGAGAAACACATATCACACCTTCAGTCTACTATGTCTCCAAGTCCACCCCCTTGTCAGTTTTTCTCCATGGTTGGTAGGTACTCTACCTCTGAAGGTCATTTTACATGTTTCAACTGGTAAGTTACTAACAAAGAGACAAACATCGTAAACCGTGTCAGTTTAGGTGAAGCACACAGGGGGCTCATTTGTACTACGAGTAGTAGTTAAACCATCATGGAGCATCACTGCCTAAGGGCATCCGATAGAGACCGTGAACAACAAAACCATTCCATGGCTAGTTCTAAACACGTACTTACGTGCAGTTTACCTCTCTGAACATATACAGTCAACTGCAGGAAGCTGAAGCCATGGTGATCCATATAATGTTTTTGGCGTATCTTTAAGGCGCAACCGAAAGCTGCAAAGTCATAATCGACAAACTTGTACACATTGAAGCAAGTTCGATATATTTACATTCAAACCGGTCGATATTTAACAAGTTCAATTAAAATATTTAAAAACCTAAAAGAAATACTACGAACCGTAACCTCACATTTAGGGCCTCCCAGGACGGCGGGGCCTCTGCCGTCGTCATCACCCATGTCATCGGAGTCATCATCGTGGTGGTCCTTCCAAACAAAAGCCAATAGGCCATCTATGATACACAAATCAGATCATATGACCGGTGGTTTTTTCTCCCATCATTAGTTCAGTACGTTGCCATGCATATCAACAATTTTCTACAAAAATCCGTTATGTAATGAGCTCCTTTTGGTAATTCAAACTTATATATATATATATCATATACAAGCATTACCCATAAAGTGCTTCAAAATAACTAAAATCTTCCTCCATAATTCAGAAACTTCATCTTTTTTTCTCTGTGAATTTCCCATCTTTATTGCATAACCTTTTTCTATGTACTAGAGTTTGCAAAGGCAACCCTTTCCCACTAGTGAAAGTATGCAAGTAATCATCTATATTGTTCTGTATCTCACCAAAATAGAAAACCTCACTTTTATGAAAAAAAAAGTTTTTAGGCCACACAGATGTTCAAACATACATAAAATAAGCTTCAAGAGAAAAACATTGTCTGCTGCACATTGTAACATTGTAAAAAAAGAAGCTAAATAAGATTAGCCACTATCCCTTTAATCAATCCAACATGGTGTGCCCTTTTGATTAGAATCTGCACAACATCTATGGCACATATAAATACAACTCTATTCTTAATACTTCATGAAATACAACAATATTCTTAATACTTTAAAAATAAAAGATGCATGTAACCCCACAAAAAATACAACATATTTTCAATATTATTTCAAATTTGGGGGCACATATTAGTATATCTTCTATATCTAAATAGCTAGCCCCCACTAACCTATTTCTCTCAACATGCAAGTATGCCACCTCATCTTTCAACATGCATGGAGAAAGGCCCACCACAACATGCAACAATTCATAATAAAATGCTACCTCAACATGCAAACATGCATGAGAATTTATATACTATTATAATATTTATATTATACAATAACCAAACACCACAAATCATTTTTTTTCAGTTTTAGTTCTCATCTTATTACTCTATATATCATGTTTTATACAACCAATTCTCATGAAATATATTACAAAATATTCCCACAACAACGTGCGGGGTATCATCTAGTTTCTATAATACATGTGCGCATAGTTCTATAAAAGTTCGCCCATATGTACATGTATCTATGTTCACAGTTTGGCAAGGAGCTTCACCACAGAATCGGTGGGCGGCAGTACGTGCCACTTAGCCAACCCTCGGCGATATGTTTGTTGGCAGCGTCGCTAAGGTGCATACCGTCCCAGGTTAGGTGGCTCCCCGGGTCATGGCAGACGCTGGAGCCATCCATCCCACACATTGCGAGCAGATCAAATCCATTTGGCGCATTGGCCTTTCCGCAACATCCCATAAGTATGGTCCCAATCCCAAAGCCTGCATGAAAGAAATAGATCAAACTGAAAATTGGGTGGCATATTTAGATTCGCGGTTTTACTTTCAGCCTAATATTTGAAAACCATTGAAAACAACCGGTTATTTTTTTGTTTGGATTTCGGAGCAATTTAATTACACTAAAAAGGTGTACTTACACAAAATATGTGAAATTAAACTAAAGCCAAAAGGTTAACTGAACTACACAAAAGTGGAAATGGTCTGGTGGCGGTCAATTGAGTTGCAAGGTTAGAGCTTCTTTTTTTTTTTGGTTGAAGTTCCTAAGTTCATGTCTAGTGGTTGACAAGGTTGTCTTTTCTGATGTATTCTATGTCATATAGATAAGTCAATAAAACAACTTATACAATTGATTATCTCTTAGTATTATGTTTAAAATTAATGTTAATTATGAGATCCTGAGATTGTGGAGTGATTAAGAATAAAATAGAAAACATGTGAGTAAGAGAAGAAATCTTGTAAGATAATGTCTTATCTTACTTTGTAAGAGATCATCTCTTAACTAAGATAATGTCCACGTCATGAAAATTATCATACATGTCATCACTAATTTAACACCATTGTACATACCCTAACCAGTTTCCGTTTTAATAAAAGAATAAAACACTCTTTTCACACACACAATTCTCGAATGAAACTTACCAAACTTTTTGGGATCCTGTACCATTTGGTAGATCTGGCTCGCGAGGTCGGCATGCATGATCCTTGTGTGTTGATGCTTCTTTTGAAGCTTTCTGAGCCCGTTCTTGAGGAAAGAGTTGTGCCTATCAAACAAGGCGTTGTGGTTTCTCAGGCACCCGTACTCGTCGTAGTCACCCTTGTCGGAGCTCTCGAAGAAGTTCAGGTATAGCGGGTAGCACCCCATCGGAGCAACATTCGACACCATGATGTCAACTGCGCCGAGAGTGATTAATTTCTGCACGACATGTTAGTTTGGAAGATAAGTAGGTTAGGTACAAGCTGCACCAAGTGGATGTTTTGTTTGTTCCTTGGCACATATACACTTGTAACTTCTCCATTCGTGGGTTACTTTTCGTGCTTCATATACCCTTTTTAGAGTACGGTCCAATTTTACCCAACTATATATTTGTTTGAATTATCGGTATGCATGGCCGCGCCGCGCTTAAAGGATGCCCTCGGCGTACGTTGAGAAACATGTGAGAATGTAATGTGCGTGAGTATCATGATTAGTAGGACATGTGCATGTTCAGGTAAGTTTTGGGTTTACGGTCACCTCTACGCCGGATGTGATGGTGTTGACTATGCTGGGTATGCTCTTTCTTGCCTCGTGTAGCGTGGACCCATTCACCAGCTGGATGTTGTAGCCGTTCTCCCCCAGCTGAAACACAAACAGGGACTTGGCCAAATACTCCTTGCAACCTACTCCCTCCGTTCCAAATTACTTGTCGCTGAAATGGATGTATCTAGAACTAAAATACATCTAGATACATCCATACGTGCGACAAGTAATTCGGAACGGAGGGAGTATATACAGACACATGAAGAAAATTAAACTTAAGTTTTTAATTGTTATTGCACCGATCGATCGAATGATTTGTATGATGGATCGATATGATATGTACTCCCTCCGTCCCAAAATACTTGTCGGAGAAATGGATAAAAATAGATGTATCTACAACTAAAATACATCTAGATACATCCATTTGTCTGACAAGTATTTCCGGACGGAGGGAGTATATACTCTGCCGTGTCCCGCAGATGCAAGGCAGTAGTCGGCGGAGAGCCTCCATCTGGCTGTCCATGGAGCCGTCGAGGTGCACGCCGTAGCCGGTGAACATGCTGGTGCCGCTGTAGTCGCGCGCGGTGCCGCCGATCATGGCCATGTTGGCGCCTCGCCGGAAGTCCTCGCCGCGCGCCTTGGACGGCGGGAGGAGCGGCAGCCCGAGCGCTTGCGCTGCGGCGCAGACATGCATGCAGTTAGACTAACCACAGCAATACGTCGTAGCAGTGACGTCGATCGTGACGATGTCGTTACCGACGAAGTCGACGTTGAGGCGGCCGTCGCAGCAGCGGCAGGTGGGCTTGCCGAAGTAGGTGATGCCGTAGGGGATGCGGGCGAAGATGCCCAGCACGCTGGCCGGCTCGTGCCGGCCTCGGGGGCAGATGTCGCCGGTGTCCGACGTCGCACTAGTAGAAAAAGGGTCTAATGTGAAACTTATTAATCCCGGTTCGCAATTGAACCGGCACTAATGTGACCATTAATGCCGGTTCCAACGGCCAGACGGGCGGCGCTCATTAATACCGGTTCGTGGCGAACCTTTAGTATCGGTTCGTGCCACGAACCGGTACTAAAGAGGTGGTGGCCTTTAGTACAGGTTGGTGGCTCCAACCGGTACTAGGGGGGTCTTTAGTACCGGTTGGAGTCACCCACTGGTACTAAAGGTGGTGCGCTGCCACCCGCAGTGCACAATGTTTAGTCCCACCTCGCTAGTTGAGAGGAGCTCGCACCGGTTTATAAGCCCCGCCGCGGCTACCGTGTCGAGCTCCTCTCTAAGCAGGCCTTTGTGGGCCTATTGCAAGTCTTCTGCCCTGTGGGGCCTACTGGGCTGTACGGGCCTGCATCCTGGCCCAACTAGAGATTGGGTTTCTAGTCGTATGTAGGCCGTGCCGGCCCAGTAGACGGGCTGTTTTTGCTTTATTTCAAAAAAAAATCCTTACCAACCGGGACTAAAGGTCCCCCAGACCACGGCGCGCCTCGTGCCACGTGGCCTTTGGTCCCGGTTCGTGTTGAACCGGGACTAAAGAGGGGGGGGGGGCTTTAGTTCTCACTCTTTAGTACCGGTTCCAGAACCGGTACTAAAGGTCCTTACGAACCGGTACTAAAAATTCTTTTTCTACTAGTGTCAAGTCGCCCAGGTTGAAGATGGCGTTGTACCTTGGAGTCCGTGGCTCCGATCCACCGCCGCCGACCGCCGGAAGCGCAGCCACCAGGAGGCAGCAGCAGCCAGTAGCGGATCTAGCACAATGAACCAGGGTGGGCCAACAATAGAATTGTTCATAAAAATATATTTTTCGTAATATTTTTTACCATTTTTCCTATGCTATAAAACTATGCAAAAAATCCCAGGGTGGGCCATGGCCCACCCTGTCCACCCTCTACCTCCGCCACCCAGCAGCAGCAGCACGAGAGGACAACGCGCGCCATGGAAAACTGGGCAAAACCACGTACAACGCACACGCCACGTACACGGACCCTTACACGGACCCGTGAACGGGCTGTACGTGGACACGGGAAAAAACTGACCGACGGCCATCGTGGACGGAAGTGGACGCGCGCCATGGAAAAATGGGCAAAACCACGTACGTGGCACACGCCGCGTACACGAACCCTTACACGGACCCGTGAACGGGCTGTACGTGAACACGGGAAAAAAATGGCCGACGTCCGTCGTGAACGAAAGTGGACGCGCGCCATAAAAAACTGGGCAAAACCATAAGGGTTGCAACGCCGGCGATGCCTCTGCCCGTGACGGCCATGATGCATACACTAGCTAGAGCTTCGCCAGCTGCGTCTACTTGGGCCAAGTAACTTGGCACACCCTCGCAGTGC